TTGGTAAGGTTTTGATATCAGAGAATGAGTTCCAAACTATTCCCTCCTCATTGGTTTTCTGGAAGAATGACAGTATTTATTTCTTAAACATATGTTTTCATTGACTTTTCTCTATTTTTCTGTTTCCTATTTCTTTTTTTTTTTCTCTTTCCTATTTCACTGGTTTCCACTCTGATCTTTATTTTTTTTCCCTTCTGATTACTTTGGGTTTTGTTACTCTTCTTCAGTTTGAGATTTAATTGACATATAACTTAGCATTAATATAAGTGTCTGCATTTACTCTTCTATCTCTAGTTCCTTGAGGTGGAAGCCGAGGCCACTAATTTGAGATTTTTTTCCCCCTAAATGTAGTTTAGTGATACAAATTCCTCCCCACCCCTCCAAATAGTGCTTTGGCAGCATCCAAATGCTTTTCTATGTTATCTTTTCATTCAGTTCAAAGTAATTTCTAAATTCCCTTTTCATATCTTCTCTGCCCCAAGGGTTATTTAGAAGTATATTGTTTAGTTTCCAAACATTGGGAGGTTTTCCAGAAATATATATATATATATTTTTAAAAGATTTTATTTATTTATTCATAGAGATGCAGAGAGAGAGAGAGAGAGAGAGGCAGAGACACAGGCAGAGGGAGAAGCAGGTTCCATGCAGAGAGCCTGACGTGGGACTCCATCCAGGGTCTCCAGGATCACGCCCTGGGCTGCAGGCAGCGCTAAACCACTGCGCCACCAGGGCTGCCCCAGAAATATTTTTTTAATTAATTTATTTATTTTAGAGGAAGAGAGAGAGAGAGAATGAGTGGGTGGGTGGGAGGGAGAGACTCTCAAGTCAACTCCGCGCTGAGTGCACAGCCCGACACGGGGCTCCATCCCAGACATCATGACCTGAACCGAAACCAAGAGTCAGATGCTTAACTGACTGAGCCACCAGGTGCACCTTGAAACATTTATTTGATCTCTAATTTAATTCCATTTTTATCAGAGAAGATCGTTTGATCAGAATCCTTTTAAATTTATCGAGACTGTTTTATGGGCCACATAGTCTCTCTTGATAAATGCTCCGTGTACACTTGAAAAACACGCAGATTCTACTGTTGTTGGAGGGGGTATTCCATAGATGCTGATCCAGTCGAGCCGGCGGGTTGTGTCACACAACGCCACCCGGTTCCTTCTGGTTTTCTGCCTACTTGTTCCGTCAAGTAGAGAGGGAAGATGGTTGCGGTCAACGATAATTGTGGGTTTGCCTATCCCCCCTTTGTAGGGATGTTTTGTTTCATCTCCTATGAAACTCTGAATTTAAGAGCATAATATCAACTTACGCTTGTTACGTCCTCCTGGTGGATTGCTCCCTCTGTTATTCTGAAATGAATATTCTTGTCTCTGCTAATATTCTCTGCCATGAAATCCATGCTGCCTGGTCCCAAATACTCCGTCTTCCTTTTGATTAGTGCTAGTGTGCCGGGCCTTTTTGCATTTGTGTCTTTGTCTTCCCATTTAAAGTGTGTTTCTTATACGCAGCTTATAGTTGTGTCTTGCGTTTTTATACAATCTGAAAACCTTTGCCTTTGCCTAACTATGGTATTAAACATTTACATTTCCTATGATCATTGAGACGGTTAGGTTTCGATTAATCATCTTCCTACTTATTTGTTCCATCTCTTCTTCGTTAACTTTTTCTTCTGCCTTCATGTGGGTTCGTTATTTCTGTGTGTGTGATTTCATTCTGCCTCCTTCGTTGACTTAAGAGTTCAAACTCTTTGTTACTGTGATTGCTTTGGTGGGTGGTTGTTTTTTTTTTTTTTTCTGTTTGTTTGTTTTGGTGTTTATAATGTGTATCTTTAACTCATTATATTCTCCCTCCAAGTGAAGATGCACCGCTTCAGGGAGAGCCTAAGCATCTTTCCCAGAGGGCAGCTCCATCTCTACCATCCATTTGTGTTTTAAAATTTTTATTTTGGGGGGATCCCTGGGTGGCTCGGCGGTTTGGTGTCTGCCTTCGGCCCAGGGCGCGATCCTGGGATCCCAGGATCGAGTCCCGCGTCGGGCTCCTTGCATAGAGCCTGCTTCTCCCTCCTCCTGTGTCTCTGCCTCTCTCTCTCTCTCTCTGTGTCTATCATGAATGGATAAATTTTAAAAAAAAATCTTTTTAAAAATAAATAAATAAAATAAAAATTTTATTTTTTTAAAGATTTATTATCTTGAGAGAGACAGAGACAGAGAGAGAAAGAAAGCAAATGGGGGAAGGGGCAGAGAGCAAGACTCTCAAACAGACTCCCCACAGTGCACGGATCCCAAGGACACGGGGCTCCATCCCACGATCCCACAACCCCGAGATCAGACCTGAGTAGAAACCAAGAGTCAGAGGCCCAACGGGCTGAGCCAGCCCCCCTCTCGCCACCCAGCCTAGGCCTTTGCGTTGTAGTCACACCCTTCCCTTCTAGGCGTGTTCTAGACTCCACAGCGCATTACTATTATTGTTTTGTGTAAACAGTCAATCCTCCTTTAAATGGATTTTTTTTTAAGATTTTATTTATTTATTCATGAGAGACACAGAGAGAGAGAAGAGGCAGAGACACAGGCAGAAGGAGAAGCAGGCTCCCTGCAGGGAGCCCAACGCAGGACTCGATCCCGGGTCTCCAGGATCAGGCCCTGGGCTGAAGGCAAGCGCTAAACCGCTGAGCCCCCCAGAGGTCCCTAAATGGATATAAATAATGAGAAAATACCTTGTGTATCTGCCACGTGGTTGTCCTTTCTGGTGTTCTTTATTCCATTTGGTACCATTTCCCTTCCTACCCAAGGGACTAATATTTCTTATTTTCTTGGTAGTTTGGGTCTTCTGATGAAGAATCTTTCAGCTTCTCTACGCTAAGGAAGTCCACAGAGCCCGTGTTTCCCAAGCTCTCCGGGGGTCCACAGGCAGGGCGGGCTCGGCTCCTGCAAGGAGCTCACTGTTGCGCTTACCCTCTACGATCTTTGTACACACACGTGTGTCTTCTTCCTCGGGGGGGGGGGGGGGGCTCCCACCCTGCTTTCTGTGCCACTGGCTCCCAGCGAATTCATGGGGGTGTGCCTCGTACTTTTTTCGTCTCTCTTATACTAGCGCTCACCGACTTCTCAGATCAGTGAGTTTATGTTTTCATCAAGTCGGGGAGATACCTGTTTCTTCGCGTTTTCTTTCTCACTCCCCCCATTCCTCCCGGGACCCTCCGGACGCTCGCTGCGTCACTGCAGTTGTGCGGCTTCTGCTTCTGCTATCACATCACCGCCACCACTAGCTCCTTCCGCCTACTGTTGGAGACTGTCCGCAGCTATGTCAAGCTCCCCAAACTTTTTCTAAACACCTAATCTGCTATTAATCCTATCTGATGTATTTTTCATCTCAGATGTTACATTTTTTTCTAGAACTTGGGTTTGAGCTCTGTCTCCCTGTCTATCTGCCATCTTTATAATGAACTGTTTGAACATATGGAAAACAGCTGTAATAATGACTTTCATGTTCTTGACTTGCCAATTCTAAAACCTGCACCCATTTCAATTTAATTGATTCTTCTCATTGTATTTTCCCGATTTCTTTGCACAGCTTGTAATTTTTTGTTGGCCGGCTGTCGCTGTCAAGGCGGAGGCCAGACTCCTGCAGACTAGGTGCCTGCCCAGGCCTGGTTGGGAGGGAGGAGGGACGCCGCCCCGCGTGAGTGCAGGCCGCTGTCCCTCGGGTCTCCTGGGCTGCTTCCCTCACGTGTGTGCCTGTGCGCACGCGCGTACACACAGCGTGGACCTGCGGGGAGTGTAGTCCGGGACTCCCCTGTCTCACGCTCTGTCCTGCACACGCCAGCACTCTGATCCCCCCAGGCTCTCGACTTTTCCTCTGCTCAGGCTGGAACTGGGCTCCCCTTGCCCCCCCACCCCCTTCAGACAGCGACACGTTAGTTTGTGGGGTTCAGCCCCGGTCCCCTCAAGGGCGTCACTGTCCTCCCCTTCCTGAAACCGTCCTCCACAGCCTGCCTGCCCACATGTGGCTGGAGGAGCTCCCAGAGCAGAAGCCACCTGCGGCCCCAGGCCCGGTGGGATGGGGGGCCCTGCTGTGCACCTCCAGGTCCTGTGTCAGCTCCCCAGGGAGGGGGCCTCCCAGCCGGCCAATTCTGCTGTAGTCTCACTGCACAGGCGCCTTCAGTGCCAGCTCCCTCTGCTCCCCCTTCACTTGAGGGTTAGCAGTGGGTCCCTCTCCTGTGGTGCCAGCACTTACCCGAGGTCCAGCCCCAGCGAGATCTTCCTGATGTATCCCCAAGGGTCTGCCTTGGGGGACCCTGGGAGTTCTGGTCCCCGAAGTACCCACTGAGCACACACACCTTCCCCTTCCTGGACACACGGTCCCATGTAGGGGTTACTTCCTCCACCATCCCCGACACCAGGCCTGACTGCTGTCCCTCACACCTGCAGAGGAGCCACCACCTGTGCAGGAGGGCACCTGGGCCGCCAGCTATGGGGCACGGGCCTCCCCAGGGCTCCGCGGCTCAGGGGGAACTAACCCCACAGTCCCCAGTGAAGCGAAGTCCACAACTCTGCTCAGCCCTGGTGCCTGGACTTGAGACCCCGGCTGCACCAAGGCCTCGGGGCCAGTGTACCTGCTGACCTGTGAACAGGGGGTCATGACCCCATGCCCCCAGCAGGCCTGTTCTGTTGCCCAGCTTTAACACAGGCAAGGGGGTGGCCAGCTTAGCAGAAGGTGGGCTCCACTGCACCTGTGCCGGCCAGGTGGGGCAGCAGCTCCTACGTTGAGGTGTAGCCTCCTGCCCACCCTGGCCTCTCCTGGCGCCCGGTAGACAGCCGGCTCAGGGGTAGGTCCACTGTTCACTGGGGGCCAGTTCTCTGGCTGCACTGGGGCAAGACAGTGGGCCCCCTCCCCGGACAGGCTGTCCCTGAGCCTTGCCACTGGTTGAGCCACCCACAAAGCCTCCCTGGGCCCTGGGGAGCCCCGGGCACTCACCGCCCTCCTCTCCTCCCCAGGGAACATCTTTAACAGCTTCTGCCGACACGCCCCCAGGTCCTTGTCCCCGTCGGTCCTGGAGGCCCTGACGCTGTCCACTGCCATGAAGTGCGCCCCCCGCGATGACTGCTCCCTGGTCCTGCGCGTGCAGGCCTCCCTGACGCTGCACGGTGAGAGGCAGCCCCGTGTGACGGTGGGATCACCCAGGGAGGGGCCGGGGGGCTCAGGCTGCTTTGACTCCACAACAATCCAAGGGGCAGGGCGGCTCAGAGATCCCCACTACCTGCCCTTCACGGAGAGGATTCGAGGCCCTGGTCTGACCAGGCCTGCGCGGCCCCTCCCTTCCCCCAGAGGGCCTTCGGGGCCTGGAGGCCTGCTCCATGAATGTCGACACCCAGGAGACACGGTGTCAAAGCGTGAGGGTCTCCCGAGCCTCTCGTCGACTGCAGGTGGGGCGGCAGGTGAGGCCAGGGCCTGACCCCGACCTGCTGGCCCACCCTGAGGCCTTTGCCAGGCAGGAGCAGCCGTCCCCTGCTGCTCCTGGACACCCGACCCACCCAAGTTCCGGGACTGGCGACCCCTTGTCCTGGGTTCCAGCCTTGAGGGGGAGCTGACTGGCCAAGGAGGGGTAGCTAGAGCCCCAGGTCCACCTGGCTCTCACCTGTACATGCCCAGCTCCAGGTGCATTTTGACTGCTTCGAAGTGGGTGTGGCTCAGAGCCTCTACGTCACCCTGAGGACAGTCCCCCACTTCTGTGGGATCCAGCTGGACCGGCAGTACCGCGTGGAAGGTGGGTGCCCGGGCAGCCCGAGCCCAGCTGCAGTGGGCTTCTAGGGACACGCTGGGCAGGGGGAGGGCACGTGCTGAGCAGCTTCACTGAGGTCACAGGCCCCGGAAGAGGACAGACTTGGCAAACCCCTGGGGCTGAGGCCCAACTAGGGGGCCAGCCGCTGGGCACCGAGGGCCAGGCCCACCACCCCTGTGCCATTTGCAGACTGTGGAGACCAGGACGTGGGGAGGAACCTGCCCGGCTGCTCCGGTGAGCCCCCTCCTCGGGTGGGACGCGGCCCCGCAGCCCCGGGGACACCCTCAGATTGCTGGGGGCCGGGCATCTGGGGCCCCCCACCGGGGAAATCGGGAGGGGCCTTAGGTGGGCGACTCCCAGCTGCCGGGGCCTGGCAGGGGTCTGCACTTCGAGGCTCTCAGGACAGGTGTCGACCTCTGTCCAGTGACCCCTAGTCCTGGCGTGGCCCCCACTTGCCGCCCTTCTAGCCAAGAAGTTCTCTTACTGGGTGGACCGCGACCGCAAGGTCGTTCGGGTCCAGGCCCCCGAGGCCCCCGGGGGCTCCGACTACTACGTCCGCCTCTGCCTCAAGTGGTTCACCTGTGAGGACGTGGGAGCCCTGGCGAGGGTGAGCCCAGGCCCAAGCCCCGGGCCCCTCCTGGCCCAGAACCCCCACTCCCAGACCACGCCCCCAGGCCCCGCCCCGCCCTCCCCTGCCCCATGACCACGCCCCCGGGCCCAGCCCAGCCCCCTGATCTCGCCCTGGCCCAGCCCTTGCCCGTGACCACGCCCTGGGGCTAGCCCCACCTCACGACCACGCCCTGGGCTAGCCCCGCCCACGACCACGCCCCCGTGCCCCGCCCCGCCCCGTAGCCCCAGCCCCTAAGCCCCCCCTGCCCCGCAGGTGACAGCCAACGGGCTCTCCCGCACCGTCTTTCTGCCCTACAGCCGAGAGCTGCCCTGCTTGTGCCTTGAGGTCAGTGACAGTGTGGCCTTGGCTCCGGGGAGGACTCGGAGGGAGGGGCACGGCCTGCGCTGACCCCGGCCCCTCCGCAGGGCTGGTCTGCGACCCCTGATGCGGTGCGGATGCAGGCCTGTCCCTTCGAGGATGGCAAGTGTCCTGTGGTGTGGACCAGGGGGAGGGAGGGGGGCCGGTGGCAGCCCGAGGGACACAGGGGTGAACCCTTCGGGCAGCCCCCCCGAGCCTGCCCCGGTGAGCGCGCAGCCGGAGGCGGGTCCTGGCCGGTCCTTCCAGGGGCAGAGTCTGCAGAGCCACGTGTGTGCACAAGTGTGTGCCCAGTTCCTGGGAGGCACTGGCTGCGGCCTGGCTCCCCCGGAGGAGCCGGGTCGTCTTGAGAGTGGCTCGCGGGGTCCTGGCACTGAGAGCCGCAGGAGAACTGCATCCGAGGCAGGTGACCTGAGCTGACCTGAGCCCCGGGGGGGGGGGGGTGTCCTGGGGGGGGTTCCCCGCAGACACAGAAGCACTGTGGGATGCCGTCCACTACCACCCGGGGGCCCAGGCCCTGAGCTGGGAGCCTGCCTGTCCCGTGAGTGGCCACGTGAGCCTGTGCTGGCGCCCCGGGCCGGGGGCACTCTGCCACCAGCTGGAGCACTCCGGCCGCGCAGCCCACGGCAGGGTGAGTACCCAGCAGGTGGGGTGGGGTGGGCGTGGCCACGGGCCTGACCTGAGCGCCCTGCAGGTGCAGTACCCGCGGGTGGACACGCAGCCCCAGCTCTGCCTCAAGGTGAGTGGGCCAGGCCACAGCCCACCCAGGGCAGGACCAGCTCGTAGGGAGGGGCAGGCAGGGGGCTCTGGGGCACCTGGGGCCTGCAGCCACACACAGCCCCACACCCTGCCCCGCCCTGCAGCCCAGCCCCCCAGTGACCCCTCTGCTCCCATCCTGGTCCGAGGGTGGAGCCCGGGATCTCGTCCCAGCCCCCATCCCCCAGCCCCCGCACCCACTGCCACAGCCTCATGCCTCCCGACCTCTCCGACCTCTCCGCAGTTCTCCACCAGCCGGGGCTTCTGGGTGAGGTGCCCTTTCAAAGGGCAACGCTTCCAAGGTGAGCTCTGCATGGGAGGCAGGGAGGCCGTCCTGGCCGTGTGGACGCAGCAAATAATGCCCTTTCTTCTGCTCCCCTGACGCCTCTCGGGTCCCTGGGACGGAGGGTGGGAAGAGGGTGGTCCCAGGCCTCAAACCTCCACCCCCACAGCCTGGAAGATGACCGTCCAGCCAGCAGCCTCTCAGGGCCACCTCCGGGTCACCTTCTTCTCGCCCGAAGCTGCCCACTTCCAGGTGTACCTGTGTCAGCAGAGGAAGACGTGGCCCCCTGCCTGCCGCCCCGCATTCTGGGCCACGGCCCTCCCTCCAGCCTCAGTGAGCTGGCCTAGGCGGGGGCTGACCCCTGGGGTCTCCTGCAGGCCTCGACCTCCCACAAAGCCCTGAGTCAAGCCCTCGAGGCCCCCTGGGGCGCAGGGGTGCAGAGTGTAGGGCCAGTCCTCCCCCCCCCCCGCTGCTAGTGACCTGCCCCCTCCTCACCAGGGTGACTTCATGACAGGCCCTGCTGTCGCCTTTGTAGACGTTCCCAGGGACGAGGCTTGTGTTCCCAACACCTGCATCCAGGTGGGTGGTGCTGCCTGCCCAGCCCTGCCCACCCACTGCAGCCCCAGACCTGTTTCCCATCATGAAGCCCCTGGGATCTCCTCCCCCAGAGCTCCTGGGGGTGCCCTGTCTCTCAGGGGATGCTGGGTGGGGGCGGGGGGCAACACCCGCTGGTGTTGACTGAGCCGGCCTGCCTACAGGGCCGGAGGACCGACATGCTCTTCTCCGCCCCCCAGCAGCTGTGTGACCTTCGGTGCCGTGAGTGACCCCACTAGGTCCCGGGCCCCAGGGGTGCGGGGGGAGTGAACACCCACGGGCTGAGCCTGGAGCCTGTCTCCCATTCTGAGGACGGGGTGGGCACCACATGGAGAGACTGGGCATTGCTGGGGGACGGAGGGCCATTTGCCCTGAAGTCAGGCCTGGCTTTGGAGCCAGGGTGAAGGCAGCCGCATAGAAGGCAGGGGCCTGGCCCCACCCCTGCCTTGGGACGTCAAGGACCCCAGAGGCCCATCCCCAGCACCCACAGCCCATATCGCTGCACCAGCGGAGCCGCTTCCTCCTCCCTGAGTGCCCACCACCCCTGACTAGGGCTCTGGTGCCAAGTGTCCAGGAACCCAGGATGTCCCTCAGCCCACCTTCACCCACCCAAGCCACCGACGCCCAGACTACTGGGAGCTCAGGCTTAGGAGACCAGGCTGACCCTGTGGGTCCTGGGTGTGGCTCGGGTGGCCTTGCCTGGGGGTCCTGAGAAGGACCGTGGGATGTAGGTGGGGAGCAGACATCGCCTGTGCGGCTGCTGCAGGGACAGTGGACTGTGGGAGCCCTGGAGGCGAGAGGGGACAGGAAGGGGGGCTCGCCCCCAGGGCAGCCCCAGGCCTGCCCCTGCCCCACTGGAAATGCCCTAGAGCCTGGGGTGTCTCTCAGACCCGTGTCCTCCACCTCCTCCCCACCCCAAGTCTGGGTCCTGTTCCCTAGCAAGGTCGCCTCCAGCTGATCATGGGCCAAAGGGGCGACGGTCACCCCTGGGAGCCTGTGTCTGGATAGGGCTCCACCGCCTATGGGCCTGGTGACCTGGGAGTGGACCCCCAGCACTGCCGGAGCCTCCAGGCCACACGGGGGTGGGGGAGCAGCGTCAGAGGGAGTGGTCGGGGTCCAGGCCCGCATGGGCTCTGCAGGGCTGGGCAGCCTGGAAGGGCCCGGGCCTCTCCTTCCTCCTGCGCACGGTGGGGGAGCAGGGCCCTGCAAGCCTGGGGTGGGTGACCGAGGCCCCGTTCCTCTCTTTCCAGCTGCCAGCCAGGGAACAGCAGACTGAGGCCAGGAGCCGCGCACGGCATGAGCGAGTGCCCGGCTGAGCACTGGGGGGCGGGGGGGGGCAGCGCCTGGGCCCCAGAGCCTCTGGCCTCAGAGCCCAAAGGTGCCTCACCCGCACCCAGGCCGTGGGGCCTGAGCCACGGGACTTTGAGCCAGACGGAGGCCTTTCAGGCCCGACGGACTTCCACGCCCCAGGCCAAGGGCCACCCACCGGCCGCTGGGCTGTTGGATGTGCCCCGCAGAAGTCTCACGCTGGCTCCTGAAGGCCGCCGGCTGCCCCTCCCGAGCTCCATCGTCCGACTCTGGAGTCCCCTGCCCAACCCACAGACGGCAGGGACAGGCCCCGGGCTGCCCCAGATGGTCGGCGGCACTGCAAATGCCCTCCTAGCCCGTGGCCCGTCTCCGCTGTCCCCCCCCCGTAATGGGGCTGCTGCCCCCACAAAGCCAGTACACACCCCACACTCAGTAAACACGTGTCCGCCAAGCTCGCCTCTTGCCTTGAGGACAGAGATGGGGTCCGCAGGGCAAGCAGCCCCTTGGGCACGTGGGTGGGCAGGGAGGATCCTGGGGCCCTGTGGGATTGCCTCCGGAGGTGAGGGTGGGACCACAGATGGCAGATGGACCCTGCCAGCACCCCCACCACACACGAGCCCCCAGGCTGCCCCCGAGGTCACCCCGTAGGCTGGAAACGCCGTAGCCCATGGCCTGCCCAGGCCACGTGTGGGAAGCCCCCCTCCAGGGTCCCCATAAGGTGGCTGCCCGAGGCCAAGCCAAGCCAAGAACTGAAAGAGGGATGGGACCCTGCGGGGGGCGGTGGTCAGGGAGGCCCAGCCTCGGGTCGCAGCCCCCCACTCCCACCGGGTCAGGGTTTAGGGGCTGACAGGCTATGGCCTGGGGGCTGGGGGTCCTCTGGTGGTGCTCCCTCCCCATCAAGGCCCAGGAGGGGTGGGGACCCACAAGCTGGCTGTGGCTGGGCTGCCCCTGTCCTGAGTTCCTGCTCCCCTCACCTGGACCATCCGGGAGCCCCGTGGCCATGCAGACAGACCCCGGCTCTGACCCAGGGCTACCCCTGGAAATCCCTGCCTGCCTGGAGGTGGAGCAGGGAGTGGACGCGGGAGCTGACCAGGTGTGGGCGCTTCAAGACTTGCTGCAGCCCTGGCCTCCTCCACATGGGGGAACTGAGGCCCAAGCAGAGGCCATGACTGGGTTCCTCTCAAGGAGGCTCAGGGCTGCAGGGAATGGGTGAGGAGGGGCATGCGTGGGTGCCAGCCTCCCAGCTGTCTACGTGTGTGCTGCCACCAAGTGGTGGTGGTGCTCAGCAACCCGACCTCCGTGCCAAGGTCTTAGAGCACATGCATTGCCCGTGGCCCGGCAGGCCCGCCCTGGTAACACTGATTCCCAGCCTAGCGGGAAATCCCATGTCCACTCAGGTCACGCCTGATGAACCCAGGCCCCAGGATGGGGAGGCCCAAAGGTAGTGGTCAGGTCGCCCCACAGGGCTCACAGCTGAACTGCAGGGAGCCGTTGGGACATCTGTGTGCCCACAGGTTCCTCAAGCAGGCACTGAGGCCCCACTGGGTGCCCCAGAGCCCCAGCCCCTGGAGCTGAGGTCACCGACCCTGCAGCTGAGGACCAAGGGGTCTGCCCTGGACTGAGGGGCTGAGAGGGTCCAGAGTCTCAGCCTAAAGCCCAGCAAATGGGGACCACTGGTCACCCTACCCGGAGCTGATGTCTGCGTGGGGAAGACCGACCACAAGCAGGCCAACCACATGCTTTGTATGGAGTGCCCAGTGTCGGTGTGAGGCTGGGGGTGAAGGCTGGGAGGGCGAGCAGGAAGGACAGGCGTGCATGTGAGCAGACCGCAGAGGTGAAGGGTCATCGAGCGGCCTGGTTCCAATGGGGTCTGATGGGTGAGAGGCGGGGCGTGGCAGGCCAGTGGCCCTGGGATGTCCTGGGTCCATGGGTACGAGGGAGATGGAACAACACTGGACCTCCATGACCAGCGGGCCCAGCTCCCCAGGCTGCAGTTGGGGTTTGGACATGGTCGGGTCTGAGCTGCCTGTTGATGTTCAGCCATTGGCCAGTGTTGCCTGCTCATGACCGTGGGTGCCTGCTGGCTCAGGGGTCAGCACAGACACAGATCCCGGCCCGGGGCAGAGGGTCGAGATGGGAATAAGGAGCAATGAGTAGGGGCGCCCGGTGGCTCAGCAGGTGAGCGCCGCCTGCAGCTTAGGGCGTGACCCGGGGTCCGGGATCGAGTCCCACTTCCGGCTCCCTGTGTGAAGCCTGCTTCTCCCTCTGCCTGTGACTCTGCCTCTCTCTCTGTGTCTCAGGAATAAATAAATAACATCTTTTTAAAAAGAGAGAGATGGAGACAGGAATTGTAAAAAGGAACCAAACAGAAAATCTGGAGCTGAAAAGTACAACGTCTGAAATGAAGAATCCACTGGCAGGATCCTACAGCAGATCTGGGCGTGCAGGAGAAAGCGTCAGCAAACCAGAAGATGAAGCCATTGAAATCGCCCAGTTTGAGGAGCAGAAATAAGAAGAATGAGGAAACGTGGAAGAGCTAGAGCGGCCCTTGGGGTGCCTCCAGGGGTGCTGACACACACATCATGGGAGCCCTATGAGAAGGGAGGGAAGCGGCCGTAGATATTTGAATAAATAATAGCCCCAAACTCCCCCACAATTGATGCATGACACAAATCTGTATATCCAAGAGTCTCAACAAACTCCAAGCAGGATAGAGATTGACAGTAGGACACGTTACACCCACGTTGCCTGAGGCCAAGGTCAGAGAGAATCTTGTCGCACACCGGAGATCTGCGATAAGATTTTAAGCAGATCTCTCATTAGAAGGACCAGAAGGCAATGCGATGACGTCCTGAAAGCCCTGAACGATTTAAAAAGAAACCTTGTCAACCCAGATTTCTCTATCCAGTAAAAGTATCTTCCAAAAAACAAATGGGAAAGTAAGACATTCTCCAATAAATAAGATCTGCGGGAGCTGGTCGCTTGTAGACCTGTCGCAGGAGAAATGCTAGAGCATGTCCCCCGGGTGGAGAGGAAGGGGCCCAGCCAGTAACTCAAAGCCACGTGAAGGGACACACAGGACGCTGCAAAAGTCACCACGTGGAAAAATGTAACACGCCGGCATCACTGCCGTTTGCGGTTGTGACTCCTCTTTTTTTTCCTATATGATTTAAAAAGGCAAATGCACGAAACAATAATTATAAATGTTTCAACGGGCATACAATACATAAGGACGTATCTGTGACAGCGGTGCAGGAGGGATGAAGACACACGGGAGCTGCTGCCTGTTGAGACTTAATTGGTATTCTTCAAACGGGGGTGTTATAATGTTAAGATTTTAATTGTAACTTTCAAGAAAACTGCTGAGAAAATACCGGAAAAAAATACTCACACAAGGAAGGAAGAAGGGAATCCAATGGTTGCCTTACAGAAATCCATACCAGAAAAGGCAGGTCATGGAGGACCTGGAGGACGAGCCACCGGAGACACACAGGCCGATCCTTCCTTTAAGGTCAAGGGACTAAACTCTCCAATTAAAAGGCAGGGGTTGGCAGAGAGCATAAAAAAACATGATCCGTCCACTCCCTGCTGCGTACAAGAGACTCGCTTTATTTATTTTTTTAAAGATTTTATTTATTTATTCATGAGAGACACAGAGGCGGAGACCCAGGCAGAGGGAGAAGCAGGCTCCATGCAGGGAGCCCGACGCAGAACTCGATCCCGGGACCCCGGGATCATGCCCTGGGCCGAAGGCAGGCGTTAAACTGCTAAGCCACCCAGGGACACCCATAAAAAATTTTTAAAAGAAATAGAAATGATACAAGAGCTTAGCATTAGCAATCATATGGCAACAAATAGGGAAACCTCGGTGCAGTGGATGAAATCTCAGAAACACACAAACTACCAACACTGGGTCAAGAAGAAATAGAAAATCTGAATAGACAAAAAGACGAGAGATTGAATCAGTAATGGAAAACGTCCCCGTAAAGAAAAGCCCAGCAGTAGAGGGCTTTGTCGGTGAAGTCTGTCCAACATTTTTAGAAGAATGAACTTCCCAAGCTCTGTCCAGGAATAGACGGGGAAACACTCCTAACTCGTTAGGAATTCTAAAGCCAGAAAGACACTATAGGAAAACCACAGTTCAATACCTTTGTAAGTATAGATGCTGGAAGCCTCAAAGCACTGGCAAGCGGACTGGAGAGGATTGCGCGGCCACCACGTGGGTGCGAGCATGGCTCCCTCCACCTGCAGAAAGCAGGGTTCCTCTGCCGCGTTTATGGGGTGAAGGCAAAAACCCCACAGGCCATCTCAGGCGACGCAGGAAAAGCATTTGACAAGATCCAACCCTCTTTTCATGATAAAAACACTCAGTAACCTGGGAACAGACAGGAACTCCCTGGACACGATGGAGGTCATAGGACAAGCTCACATCTCACTCCTCAGTCAGGGATTGAAGTCCTTACCCCGAAGCCTGGGAACAGCATGAGGATGCCCACTTTGAACATGCAACGCAGTACTGCAAGCGCTAGCCCGGGTGAATAAACAAGAAATAGGTACAAAAGTCATTGAAATTGGGGAAGAATTAAATCACCTCTATTTGCGGGGCGCCTGGTGGCTCAGCTGTTGAGCGCCTGCCTTCAGCTCAGGGCGTGACCCCGAGTCCCGTATTGGGCTCCCCATGTCTCATGGGGAGTCTCCGTATGTCTCATGAATAAATAAAATCTTTTTAAAAAATTGTTAATATGGAAAGTTTTCTTGTGTATATTTTACCACAATAACACTTTTCCCCCCAAAGACTTTCTTTTTTTAAGTAATCTCTTCCCTCAGTGAGGGCCTCCAACTCACAACCCCCGATCCAGACTCGCGCGCTCTACCCACAAACAGCAATTAAACACGTTCTATTTTTTATTTTTAGTATTTATTTATTTATTTATTCACGAGAGACAGAGAGAGAAAGGCAGAGACTCAGGCAGAGGCAGAAGCAGGCTCCAGGCAGGGAGCCCAATGCGGGACTGGATCCCAGGACCCCGGGGTCCCGCCCTGAGCCCAAGGCAGAGGCTCAACCGCTGAGCTACCAGGGGTCCCTTAAGCACATTTAAAAGGACTCGGCAGTGCCTGTGGGATTCAGTTCACTGTGAACCTGTCTGCTGATGGGTGCTCTAGGGCACGGACTTCCTCCCATTCGAAGGAAAATTTAAGAGATTTGTTTCTGCAACAGCTAGTTATCACCTGGAGCCAGGCATTTTTTTTTTAGATTTATTTATTTATTTGTTTGTTTATTTATTTATTATTATTTATTTATTTATTTATTTATTTATTTATTTATTTATGATAGATATATATAGAAAGAGAGGCAGAGACACAGGCAGAGCGAGAAGCAGTCTCCACGCTGGGAGCCTGACGTGGGACTCGATCCCAAAGGCAGGCACCAAACCGCTGAGCC